TGTCCCCGCCCTGCTGCGGGCCCTAAGGCCTCTGTTAGCCTCACCCCGGCAGCTCCTCGGAGCGAAATCACACCTAGACGGAGTAAGTAACTAAGAGAAAAAGAGGTGAACTATTTCTTATTGATAGGTGTTTTGCATTTTTTGAAGCATGGAAAGAATGGGATTCCCCGTCCCCGTCCCGGCACAGGTGAGGCTCCGCGCTCAGGGCTGCGGGTGGGGGACCCACGGTCTGAGGGGTGCCCTTGACAGGGAAGGAGGCAGACCCGTGTCCTCAGCCCCGAGGTCACGAGGTCACAAATGTTCCTTCTCCCCTGATTCCAACCGGCTTGGGCGGGGGACAGTGCTCCTGGGCGCCCCGGGCCCTGGGGGAGGTGGGTGGGGCCTGGGGCGCCCAGGAGGGTGGTGGCTTACCTTCTGCAGGTGCTAACTTACCCCCGGACCCCAGAGAGAGGCAGGACTCAGGGGGAGGGGAGAGAGGGAGGGGCTGCCTGGGCTACTACCCTGTCCCTCCGGCTCCTCCATGCGGCTCTCCATGTCCCCCACTCCCACCCCTGGTCTGGCAGGGGCTCAGGGACCAGACCCCCAGGTCACAGGCCTCGGCTCAGGTCCCAGAGGCTGCGGGGGACCCCGCGGTGCCTGACGGGGGGCGGGGGGGCGGACAAGGGGCAGAAGGAGGTCCTCTGTCCATTTAGGGGGAGGCAAGGCGAGTCCAGACCCTCATCTGATTAGGGGTGAGGTGGGGTGGGAGCCCCTTCCCCTGCACAGAGCTGAGGCCCCGGGGTCCCTGCTGGCTCCACGGAGGCGCCCAGTGCTGGTCCCGGGACCAAGGACGAAGGACTTAACTCCTCAGAGCCCCAGGTTCCCCACTTGTGGATGGGATGCCGCCTCCTCAGGAGTCAGTGAGCTCTGCCCCCTGAGGGCTGGCTCCTGAGCCCGGGAGGTGGGGCTGCAGATAGGGGTGCTCAGGGTCCCCCCGCTTCTACTATTGACCCCCCAGCTGAGCAGGGGGTGGAGGTGACCAGCCAGGAACCAGGACTGTGCCCCATAAATGTCAGCTCAGGACGGGTGCGGCTCGAGCGGACAGAGATGGGGGCTCTCCCCTCTTTCTCAGCCCCACCCTGGTTCCCCCACCTGCCAGCTGGCACGCGCCCTGCAGAAGGCACCACTCACTCCCCAACAACCACGGCTTGGCCAGCATCCCACCAGTTTCAGGGCAGGGGTGGGGGGGAGGGACCCCAGCTGGGTGGGTGGCCATTATGAGAGGGCAGGTCCCCCAGGATGGAGGGTGGGGTTGAGGCCTCCCAGCCTCTGAGGTGCAGAGGTGTGTGGGGGGAGGGTGTTTGTGAAACCGGATCAAGTGGCCGGAGGTGGTGGCCGAGGTGCACCAGGGGCCAGGCCTGTTGACAAAGCCTGGTTCCCTGTCCTTCACCCCCGGCCCTGAGGGCGGGCACAGCTCCCCCTGCACC